GCCCCAAAGGACCCCAGGAAGTCTCGAGGAAAACACCGACAGGCCAAAAACATTCAGTTACACACCCATAGGGGCTCAGTGATTTGTACCTTGTTGCCTTTTCGCCTCCGATGGTCTGCCGAGGCCCCCAGATCGACACAAAGAGGCCCCACGACGCTCCCACAAAGCGCGCAAGAGGCCCCACGAAGCACAATGCGCCCTCAACGGGGGCCCGAAATCGCTCCCGAGAGGTGCCGGACATCCATCAAGGCGGCCTCAAAGAACATCTAATCCCACCCAGGCGTCTGCGACAAACCTCCGGCACTTCCCTCCTGGGCTTCCAAGAATTCCCCAGAAGGACTTCAAGATGCCTCGGGACGCTTTCGACACAGGCAAGAGAGCTCCAAGACAGCCCACGAGAGTCTCCAGACGGCTTAAGAAGCCTCCAACAGCCCCCAAGAGAGCGCCAAGAGACCTCCCAGAGGCCCCCAAGACCCCCGACGAGAGCGCCAAGGATTTCCAAACCCACGATGCCCCAAGAGGCTCTCCTACTGGACTCCTCCTCGACTCCCACTGAGCTCGTCGTGAAATCCTTGATGTCACAAAACATGTGCAAACGTTGAAGTCTTAGCCGCGTGATTCGAACAGTTGTTCTGCACTGGCTGCTGACGCCAATCAGACCAAAAAGCCATCCGCGGGGCCATGGAATGTTTGAGGCGAGAGGTGTCCCCAAATGGGCGGAGGGACGCTATGCGGCACCTTGCAAGAGAGGCATTCGGTGGAGCGAAGACTTGTGGCCGCCAGTCCCAGCGCCATCGCCCGCATACGTCCCCTCCACCCAGTACAGCGTTTCGCGGCCCCGTAGAGAGCTCCACCGAAGGTCCTTTAGCTACCTCCCGCATGCGTCCCCCCAACGCAGTACAGCGTTTCGTGGCCCCATCGGGGGCGCCACCGACGGCCTCAGTGCTACCGCCCGCCTGCGTCCCCCCACCCATACAGCGCTTCGTGGCCCCATAGGGAGCTCCACCGACGGCCCCAGGGTTACCGCCCGCATGCGTCCCCCCACCCAGTACAGCGTTTCGTGACCCCATATGTAGCTCCACCGACGGCCCCAGTGATGCCGCCCGCATGCGTCCCCCCCACCGAGTACAGCGCTTCGTGGCCCCGTAGGGAGCTCCACCGAAGTTCCCAGTGCTGGGGAGGAGGGACGGGGGGTGCTGGACGTCCGCTATGATTGTTTTCTTGTGCGCAGGTGCCTTTATTTCCTGGGGAATGTCGGTCGTCGCTTATCGCAGATACAATAGAACCATATGCATGTACATGTCTGACGTATGCTGCATGAGTGGTCACAAGATCAACGGTTCGTTGGGACGTAAGGTTCCTTCGAAGGCACACTTGAGCCGTCACATGTAACATCTGCAAGCTTGATCCGACGCGGTGTCCCGAAAACAACGTATCACAGGCCAGTGGCCCCGATGGGCAAGCGGATTTGTAGGTTTGGAGGTCTGGCGAACAGTTTTGAAATGCTTCCTCTGCCCGCGCCACGGGGCCCCACTGGGAACAATGTTTGCCTGATGTTCGTTCCCCGCAACGTTCCCTCGGGGGGGCGCGGACCAGAGACCTTATTATGTTTTAGGTAGCGCCTCGTGGGTCCGAGTGGTTTTCAGGATGCTGTGGCTTCTCCCCCGATTCCTTGAACGCATGGCGTGGCCACTCCGATGTCGTTGCCATTTGGGCTGAACGGCAACGTTTTGTTGCAACCGCCATCGTTTTGTGCCGTGCTTTGATGTTGTCTTGAGCAGGCGCTCTCCTTAACTGATGGTATGGAGGGGGTTGTGGCCCAAACGCTCCGCTCTTATTCTCGGAAGCGTGATGGGGAGAACGAAATACAGTATGCAGGCATCCACGCTGTGAGTCGAAGTCTGGAGAGTCTCGGGGGTGGAAAAAAGAGGAGACTAGCGCTTCCAGTTGGTGGATCGATGAACGATGATATTCCTTGGGCATCAGCAGCGGTTAAATTGCAGTCGATCGCCGTCGGCATCGACGTGGATCAGGTCAACCAACACCTATTCCAGACGCCCCCCGCCGTTGATATTGAGTCTGATGGTGATGTCGACGAGCTCGCCCTGAGGGACTCCAGGGGGTCGCAGCTCGAGGCGCAGAATGCTGAGCTGAAGATGCGCGTGTCGACCTTGGAGCGCGCCAACCGACGTCTGCGACAGAAGATCGGAGCCTTGGAGGTTGACAGAGGCAATCTACTTAAGAAAGCGCTCATGAGAAAAGACGGCCACATATATTTTACCGTGTGGATGGGGATGTCAATCGCAGCACGCAGGATGGCAACTGGAGTGTCCGCCAGAAGGTTCGGTTTTATCAATATGATGACAATAGATAAGTCCACTATGATACATTGGGAGATCGTATTTGTTGCCGCAATTCAAGCTTACAGGAGAGCATGGTACGCAGACCGAGAACGCTGTTTATATGCGCACCTGCGCGAGTTGGACCAGTTCTTGCCAGCTGGGGGTTGCAATGGAGATTGTGCGCATGCAGTTGAATGGGAACTCCCCCCTGCACTCGGATCTGGAGGCGGCCCCGCTAACCCTGATCCTGAGAGTGGCGCGAGAATCAACATCAGAGCGTTTAGATTCGCAACGCACAAAGTGCGGGGCGACGGGACGAACACAATGAAGCACAAGAGGAAATACCACACGTGTGAGACACATTCAGTGTATTTCGAAATTGACGTCACCAACGATACCTCTTGGGATCAGGTCAAGCAGAGCCGCGTGCGCGGGGGCGGGCTCGGCGACATCATCCATGTCGAGGGCGGCACCGCGAGAGATGCATACGCCATGTACAGTAAACAAATGGCAAGCCTTGGTTGTCCGTCCTGGGTGCGGGATCCTTGTTCGATTAGGGCGTCGACCCAGTTCTATCGCAGTAATTCGAAGTACGGCGTCGAGCTCAATGTATCCATCACGTTTGCGATCGGCGCGGATTCTGGCGGTGACGAGGACCGTTTCAAACGAGATGTCGTGGACGAGACTGAACTTGATTTGGGCCAGTTCGCAATGGGGGCAGCGTGCTTGCTCCACCAGTGCCCTGGTCTCACCATATTCGCATTCCGCCGCCCCCTTCCGTTGGTGCTGCTGCGATTGCTCATCCCCCTTCCGCTTTCTACCTCCTTCGCTTCCTTCGCCCTCCTCTTCCGCCCCCATTGTAAGTCTCCGAAACGGCACCCTTATGTGCACGCCCCACCATCCCCTGAGACTCTGAGATTCTGAGACTGCTCCTCCTTCTCATTCCCTGCATTGTCGGCTAATGCCATCGGAAAGCCCTCCATCTCCTCCTGCGCCTCATTCCTCGACCCATCGGGTGTGCGATGTGAATCAGGACACGTTTTCTTTCCTGGCCCTTGGGTCCTTGACTGCGCCGAACGCTGGGGCTCCCGTGGCAGGTCTGTAAGACAAAAGATTGCCAGGTCGACGTGCTTCCACCTCCTCCCCCGCCTCTTTTCTGAGCCAAGCCGCCGACCGCTCTCGCGATCAGGCGCCAGGATTGTTTCCTAACAGGAACCGCGCAAGCCAGCTTCCACCAACACCCACCCTCCAGGGGTGAACCCGAAAAGGGGGCAGGGAGGGAAGTATGTACAAACCCCTCATGTGTTCTGTGCTGGCCCAGGCCGCATCCCCCCCCGCGGCTTCCGCCTCCGCCTCCTCCTCCTCGCCTCCTCACGCGTCGCCTTTCTGGTTTGACGGATGTCTTGGAAGCGCCTCGGGTCGTCTTGGAGGCTTCTTGGGCCGCCCTGGGGACATCTTGGGGGCTCGGGCGTCTAGAGTCTAGGTGGCCGAGTCTAGGTGGAGGGCTTCTCGGGTACCGTGGGTATTTTCGGGCCTCCTTGGGGTGCAGATGCCCCTCCATGCCCCAGGTGCCATCTCATGTGCCAGTCGTCTCTGAAGTTCTCTGACAAGTTTTGCGAGGTGCTTGCGGGCATGATGAATGTGAAGCGGAAATACTTTTCGACGATGGTGAAATGTCTTCACTGCTGGAGGGATTACGGCCAAAAGATTTTCTTTGCCTTAGAGAAGCGATACGACTCGCTGACTGCAATCACACACGCTGGCAGGAGGCCGCCTCAAGCCCTTTCCAACCGCTGGGGCGCCGTGGATGATGGCGAAGAGTTCGTTTTGAGCAAGCCCGCGTCGATTAGGAGGGAAGTCGTTGCCACAACTATCGCAGCGTCTGTCAAGGCCATTGCTGATGCTGGTGGGTTGATAGCCATCGCCGACATCGGAGTCCCCGCCGTCGCTGACAAAAAGAAGGCAAAGGGAGAGGCGGCAGGCAAGACGGATGAATTGTGCACGGACATAGTACCAGCAGAGCCCATAGAAGTATACGGAACTGAGGAGCTCGCACTTGAGTCAACAAAAGTTTTTACGGCAAAAGAAGGCAAGTGGCGGACAGGTGCTGCCCTCGCATTGGTTGACCCTGTCTTTGTAGAGGTGATCGTCAACATCTGCCATGAGGCGCGACGACCCCTACGACACTTCTTCTTGTGGCTGCAGCGCCCAATCGAGGAATACGACATCGATGGCGATTTGCGAGCCCCAGGGAAGGTGAACAACTGACAAAACAATTCAACACCCCCCCCCCAATGAAACAGCGATCGCACGCATGACAATTCGCAGCCCTTGTTCGAAACACCAGAGAGGGAGAGAGGGTGGGGGCTGGGGGATTGCAATCGCTCCCTCTCTCCTTTCTTATCCTCCTTTGTCCTCTCTCTCATTGAACTTTCCTTCATGCCCTCGCACTTCGGACCTTCTCTTTCCGCCCATGGGGGGGGGGGGGGAGGGCACGTCGTAAACAATGCTTGCCATGCTTCTGAGCACCGCCCGCAGCCACATGGGCCCACGGGGCCCTGAGGCCCAAATGGCATGCCGTGAGACTAGTAGATCCCATGGGGCCCCAGGACCCATACGTTTCCTTAGCTCGTTTAAGTAGTTTAAGTGGCCTCGAAGGTGGCAGAGCTCGTGTGGGGGAAGGCTGAGTTCTTTTTGAAGGAACTAGACAAGCTTACGGAAGCGGAACATTGGATCGGATACCTGAACATGGTTCCGCTTGAGACACGCAAATTCTTGGCAGAATGCATACAAGCGCTCGTTCACTTGCACCGCGCCGACTTTCATCGGAGGTTGGTCCACCTTACAGTGAACAAGCCCCCGTGGAACCTGTTGGTGTTGGCAAAGCGTGGGAAGGACATCAGGTGCCCCCTGCGGGTCGACTTGGCCCGCAGATTATTGAGCACGTCTGCTGACTCCCTTGAAGTCAACTCGCGCAAGTTTGTCTCGATGTTTCGCGGGGAGCTACAGCGCATGATCGACAGTGATGGCAAATGCCCAGGGGTGATGTGGACTCAGGTTGCAATTTGGTGCGAGGCCGAGACGACTCCGTCAGACAACCATTCTATCGAAGGCATTAACAACATGATCATATCGACAGCACTCGCAGCACCTACTATCCGAGATCCTTTGCTGTCCAGCCGCGTGGTGGGCCGCTTGGCCCTCTTCCCAGTCAGCGCCACTGGCAAGGCTTCAGCACGCAGCAGCGTCAAAGAGATGCAAGGGCTCATCAATGAGGCGATTGACAAGGCCGTGTCCTGCTTCACTGGTTCACAGACGGTCATGAGTAACACCTCCAGGTGGCAATGTCCTCCCGCTGCCGATGCGGTCAAGACGCCAACCGTTCCTTCGGTCCCGTTGCCGTTCCCCCCAGCAGTGATGGAGTGGGCGAGGCATTACAACTCGAAGTTCATAACGAAGGTTAGACTGACCAAAGGTTGGACAATGCGGGCTTTGTTGGTATTGCCCTCTGCCAGCTTGGACGGACAGTTCGACGCGTACTTGTGCCCGCTTACTCACGGGCGGAGCGCCCATCTGTTGAAGGCCAAGGTCCCGCCTCCCCTCCCCAGACCCCAAACTGATTCCAACGATCGTGGGTGGGGGCAAGCGGCAAGGATGAGGTTGCGAGCGTGGATGGTGGCGGTGCGTTCGGATGTTTTCTTTGCTGTCAAAGATTCGTTCGAAACCTGCGAATCCCTGTTCGGAGGTCCACGTTCCATGCCAACAAAAACTAGCGCAATGTCGCATTTCTGCCTGGTCCGAACCATGTTACTACTGTGTGTATTTCCCTGCCAGGTTGAAACGGGATTCCCGCACATGGGCGTGGTTTTCCGAACAGCACGCGCTGGGATAGAAAGATAACCATAGCCTATGGTTATCTTTCTATCCCAGCTTAATGCATGGGTATCGAGGTACTTCTTTGGCCAGGGCATGGGGCCAGCAGTCGTAGAGGTTAGGTGTCGTCTTGGGGTCGGCCGATCGGATGCCAGCCGTTTTGGATTGCGCCCCCGAAGGTTGACGTACTCAGCGAGGGTTGCCCCGTGGTCCCAGAGCGCCCGCTCGAGTACCACCAGTCCGAATTTGTGTTTGCCAATCTTTATCAGCATCGTGAAAAAGGGTTGTCGTATTTGTCATGGAGCGTAACTAGTGAGAACACGTTGCGTGACGAAGTGCCCCTTGGTCTCTTGGAACCGATCATCCCGAAACCCAAGACGCCCGCTGCCATCAAAGACAAGACCAGCGGTCCTAAGGCCTCGGGGAAGGCCATTGTCGATGAACACGGTGATGTAGCTGACATGGGCATTGACACGGCGTGTGAGGAGGAAGATGCACCTGGCCTGGACGACGAAGTGCATGATGATGTGCATCCCCTCGGATCGTGCGACTTGGTAGGTGCCAAGATGCTCCTCGAGCCAAATAAGACCATGCATGACAAAACAGGGGTGTCTCCATGGGGCTACCAGGGGTAGATGGTTCACTTCCAATGCTGGCAACGATTCCAGGCGTTTTGTTTTTTCACGGGTGCCCTTGGGACCTTCAGATTTGATGGTTTGTTGTTTTCTAAAGAGTCTGTGCGTGGGGGTCGCGGGCGGCTTCGTTTGTCTCGAGGGCGTCGCCTCGAAGGTGGTGACGCGAGTGCCCTGGACGACGAGACTGGCCCTGTAGCCCCTGAGGAGCTCAAGCCAGATGAAATCGAACTCCTTGGCGACGACGGCGCGGCGGCGCTCGTCGAGGCGAAACTGGATTCACCCGAATGGTCACACTCAGATGGGTTTGCCGCTCACGACCCGATGCTCTTGGTTGGGGATGCATTGGACGCCGTGCGTGCTGAAGGCGTCGAGCCAGAGCCTGCTGGCCCTGCTGACGATTCAGCGGCGGACGAGCTCGACGCAGACCCGAAACTGGAAGAAGTGTTTGAGGCATGGGTTTCAGAATTCACCTTGGGTCATGCTGTCGGCGTAGAGATGCAAAAACAAGCTGGCAATCCAGTGCCAGGCCCGCTTGTGAAGGATAAGAACGCGTCCCTTCTGGTGTGGGAAAAGGACAGCACAACCATTGTTAGCTTCATTCACTGGCCATTCTTGAAAGGGGTTGCAAATCGGAACACGGCGATCGGTCGTGAGGTGATGGTTGAGGAAGGTTGTTTTGCTTTCAGCGTGCCTGCTATGTTCCCGCAGATTACATTCAAATCGAAAAAGCACCCTGATGGACATCGATTCACTCCAGTGCTGGCAGATGTAGGCGAACGCATGCAGCAAGTTAGGAAACACGAGCGCCCCAAAGTACCCGACCTCGCCCTTCGCGCTAAGCGAATGTGCGAGGTTGCCCTGAGTCTCAAGGCAATTGGCCCAGGTGCCGTGGCACATTCGAGCGTGTGCGCCTTGTGCGGCAAGGATGAGGAGAGCGTGCTGGCGTGCCCTGTGTGCTTTGTAAGAGCTCACGCCCCGTGCAGCAATGAAGTGGCGAAGTGGGCAGACAGGCGCGGGGCCATGGCCCGCCTCACTGTCCCGCGGATTAAGTTTTTAGGCCTTTTCAACGGTGCGTTGTGCCCGCTCTGTGCTAAGTCTGGCTTGATTGTCTTTGACGCTTGACACTTGGCCGTCCTGCGCGTGACATTGCTCGCACGTGCACTTGCCAATCCACTTTGTGGCTTGGGGCCCAGAGTCCTTCCCAAGGCGTCCTGCCCGCCATGATTGGCGACGCTTCAGGGCCATGCATCGCAGGATCCGCAATCGAACGTTGCCACGGCAAGGGGGGCGCGTCCTGCCAGCGCGTGGCATTCCTTGAGTTCGGCTGCGTGTTGGCCTTGCTATCGTTGACGTTTGTTATGTGATATGCGAGCGCAGTCTCGAGATTCAAGGTCGAAATGTCATTTGCATTGATGCATCGTGCCGATCCTCTGTGGTTTGCATCATCGCATTGAGCCAAACATCGACAAACATGATCAACATTTCGAGCCGCAACGCATCATGTTTGAACAGAAACTCGAGCCATCACTTGAGCAAACGAGAGCGAAAACGATGAGATATCATCAAGAACTTGAGCCAACTAAAGAGATAAGAGGGAAATAATTCTTTTACCTCTTAATTCCGAAGATAAGACAGGAAAAGATTCCTTTCCCTCCTTGATTTTGAAGATATCGAAGGTTTCTGGCATGGTTTGGTAGATTTCGCTTGGGGATTTCAGAAAACCGACTTACAAAACTCATCAGTTGTTGCTTGTGTTCCATTGCGTGACGCGCTCGGCCGCGTGCGCTAAGTACCCCCCTAGGGTCCCAGTGGGCCCGTCCACTTGCCATATTTCGTCCTGGGCGGCGTGCGCTAAGTGCCCCCCTGGGGTCCCGCGGGGCAATGCACCTTCCACATTGTTCGGTCTGGGCAGCTCGCCTTAAGACCCCCCCCCCCCCCATTTCGCCTCTGGCCAGCGGCGGGGAGAGGAGGAGAGGCGGGAGGGGGAGGGGGAGGAGGAGGAGGAGGAGGAGGAGGCGAGGCACCCAGAGGCGGATCATCATCCCCGTTTGAGGCCCCGCCGCTGGCATGATGACCCCGTCGGCACGGGCCGAGAGGACGAGGAGGAGGAGGGAGAGGATGAGGGGGAGGAGGAGGAGGCGGGGAGGAGGAGGAGGAGGAGGAGGAGCGAATGCTTTTCCACCGACATACGTCGCAGCCAATATCCACCAGGTCGCGCGTGCAAGGCGTCAACAGCTCAGCTATACCGACCCAGTGTCCCCCTCTTGCCGATTACACTTGCCAGCTCAGTGCTCTGCCCATGGCAGCCGCGGCGGCGGCGGCCGCGAGCAAGGGCGATAGCGCTGGCCAGGACGTCGGCCCGAAGGCGAGCGAGCTGACGGGCGTTTGGGTTGACGTCCAGAAGCTCTTCCCAGACAGCAGTACCAAGGCCGAGCTGCTCGACGCGATCAACTTGAAATGGGCTGCCCGAGAGGAGTGTCGGAGGCTGTTCGACGACGACGGCGACGAGCTCATCTGTGCTCACCCCCTCAACTCGCGCAACGTCTACAGCGCCCATCGGAAGTACTGCCTTCGCGTCCTGGCGGACGGGTACGACCCGCGTGGACGCGGCGTTCCCCCAGCAGTGGAGGGCGCCGACCCTAACAGCACGCAGCTCCTTGGTGGCAAGCAACTGATGAAAGCCATTTGCAGCGCGATACAGAAGGAGCCCATGAACCCGAACTGTCTCAAAGTGAAGCAGGAGGGTTACAAGGTGTGCATCTTCTCCAAGGATATGCCTACCTGCGTTATGAAAGCTCTCGTCGAACATTCCAACGCCAACAACCGCGGAGTTAAGGATACTCTTCCCGACCGCATCAGCAAGGTGCCTGATGCCATGGCGAGCTTCAGCAGCCATATAAAGAACACCCTGCGAACTACCAAGAATGCCATGCCAACCAAGGGGGAGTACACTTACTATAAAGTGCAGGCGAACTGCATCAAGACGAACTTCAGCGATATTTACCCTACTTGGCAGGTCTGGAGGGATAGCAAGCTCATCTTCAAAAACGTGAACGCAATGCCGCCGTTCGTAGATAAGGACAAAGCCGCCAGCCCCATCCTTGAGAGGGAGCAGCCGCGCGGCGGGCAGCTCGCCAAGTTCATTGAGTTCGTGGAGGCTGGAGAACTTGGAGGGGGAGGAGAAAGCATGGAGGAGGACGAGAAGGACGAGGACAAGTTTTTTTTTGTTCGGGCGAACGGCGTCGAACAAGAAAGGCGCATTGACGGAGGAGAGGGGAGAAGGGAGATGATGGGGGGGGGAGGTCCCAAAGCAGGGCGGGGCGGTGGTGGATGAGTGTGGAGGGGGGCAGAGGGGATGAGGGGAGGAGGATGAGGAGGAGGAGGAGGAGGAGGATGAGGAGGAGGAGGATTGTGGCTTAGAAGTTTTTTTTTTTTCCAACGTTCCTGGCAGGGCTCTGAGAAAAGGCTTGGCGATTCACATCGCAATCCCTGGGGAGATAACACGCACTCTGCGTTGTTCGGTTTTGGGTTGGGAAGCCTTCGCTGTGAGGCGAACGGTGACGCAGAGCAGATTGAGTCCGACATGGGCCGTTGCCTCGGCGTCGTCGCGAAGTGGACCCAGACGATGGCATCGGCGATGCAGCACTTCAACTTTTCGAAGACGGGGGAACTACAGGTGTTCGAGGGGATCTTCTACACTGGCCTGGAGGCTTGCTTTCACCTCGACCCCCTCAGCGATAGGTTCAAGAACTTGGATGGGACCCCGCCAGTACCTAGCATTGCTCTGCTCAAGTCCCTGGACCAGGTTGAGGATAAGATGCGGGCACTTCTTCACAAGGTGATCACCGTCCGAACTTGAAGTTGCCCTCTTCCATACCTCGTCGCACGCCATCCCAAGATATCAGCCATCTCTGGCGTGATAACATAATAGTCTCTGCATCCCTTGTACATTTCCAGGTGCCAAAACATTTCTGGACATCCAGGGATCTCTAGGAACCAGGGTCGAGTGAATTGCGTTCCGCCTTGGTCGCAGTTCGGATAAAGGTGCCAGTTAGCTTGTGCTTTCGAATCTATCCCATCCCACGCAGAACTCCAATCGCCCCATTAGCCCAGGTCGCTGGGGCGGCTGCCTTGCCGCCAGCGGCGTCTCCCACCAAGTCCCCCGCCGCGAAGCCTGCGAAGGGGAAGAAGGAGGCAGACGCAGGGGCGCAGAACTTGGAGGCACTTAAAAAGATGGCCGAGCAGAGCCCGACACAGAGTGAGACGATAGCTTGGGTGGACACGTTGAAGACCGCGGTGCTCTCGCCCTTCGTGCTGCTCAAGGAGTACGGCATGGTCGGTGACTGCCATGCCGATGTGCTGACCGTCGTCTGCAGGCGCGCGTTAACATACGCATGGCATGAGACGTGCCCGCCGCTGGACAAGGTGAAGAAGTGGGGGGTTCTTCGCAAGTTGCTCATCCAGTACATCTTCCATCGCCACCCGCAGTACTTCAGCAACAGTTCCCTGCAAGACCTTCGGATTTCAAATGCGTCGGGTAGCCAGGGCAGCAGTGGCGCTGCGGGCCCCAGCGACGTGACAGTATTCGCTAAATTCATGAAGGACTTCGAGGACAGCGATTTCAAGGTGACTGAGGAGCCCGACGGGGTTGAGGCGCCAGCAGCGAAGGTCGCTGGCGATGCGGCCATCCAGTCATCCAGGCGCTTTCGCCGCCTCTACACCGACGAGGGCTTCATGATGGGGCTGACGCAGTTTGCGAACTCCTGCAACCTCAACCGCGAGTGGGGCTGGGAGATGATCCCCCAGATCAAGGATATCATGGACCGCTGCAACGGCGTTCTAGAGCAATCAGCTGGCCCCAGCGATGCCGTCGGGCTCAACCTTCTCGTGGATGAGATTGCCAACCTTATGTGGATTGTCATGGATGACACGATGGAGCCGCAGTGGTTCGAGTTCGCCTCGATGGCGAACCGTTTCGTCTACAGCTCCGAGCAGACCGATCTCTTGCCCACGTCTGTGAAGGACACTTGCGACGCTGCCTTCGGCAACGCGGAGGGCGCCGTCCGCTTCTTGCACTTGCCAGTGCAGATGGGCATCTTCATCTACAGGCCATTCGTCTTCGTCGCCCCTCCTTGCTACTCCAGCTCCTCCCCTCCTCGCGTTCGCTCTCGTCCTCCTTCTCGTCCTAGGCGTTTGCTTCCACCCGCAGAAGTGTCGAAGTCGCTGATCCTGAACGCAGATGTCGGCGGGGCTGCGTTGTCGAGGTTAGCACTTGCAGAGAGGGCGGCCAGGTTGGAGAAGTCGACGTTGGTATCGTTCTGGCGCAGCGCGTTGGGCTGCGATACCCAGGACAACCTCGGCATCTTGCTCTCGGCGCTCGAGGCGAAGGACGTGCAGATGAAGGTTGAGAAGGAGGAGCCTGACAAGGCCGATGGTTCTGCAGGCCCTTCCAATCCGATCCCGAAAACCTTCTTGTGCGATTCGATCTCCAGTAAGATCCCTGGTACCACGGGCACCCCTGCGGTGTTCCGCGTCGCGTTGGATTTCATATCTGGTACTTTGAAGCAGCTGGTCAGTCCAGGTGCCCAGATGACGTTCTCTGCCAACGCGGACTACGGGTGGTCTAACCTTTACGAGGAGGATGGCGCTCTTTATTTGGCGACGGTGCCCAAGGCCACGCGCCTCCATTTCTTCGGCGACGTCGCTATCACGCCGACGGAGGGGGCGATCAAGATCGGTAATCTCCTGGGCGCGCCGCTCTACGTGTACCGTAAGGTGCCTACTTCAAGCCCATTCTGCATACCAGCGTGGCACGCGAAGGTCTTCCAGCAGAAGAAGAAGTCAAGGAAGTCCAAGGGCGGCAAGGGCGCGGGCAAGGTGGCGAAGGGCGAGAGCGGCGAGGCTGCTGAGGAGCCAGCGGTCGAAGACGCGCTCGGCGGAGACTCGGCGGTCGTGGAGCCGATCGAAGAGCCGCCTGAGAAGAAGCAGAAGTTGACTGGTGCCGACGATGAGGGGGCTGCCACGCTTACAGCCACAGCGGAGCAGGAGCCGTCGATGGAGGTCCAGAGCAAGACCATCAACATATCGATCAAGGCGTCGCTCAAGAAGACGTCTGGCTTCATGAACATGTCCACGGTTCCAGACACCATCCCCATCACGCTGTTCTTCCTGGTGCCGATGCCGTGGACGCTCAACAAGACCGACGTGAAGCTGACGCGCCGTGGCGTGCCTGCAATGCTCACGAAGGCTGCCGCAACTGATGCTTCAAAGAAGATTTCCAGCAAGAAAGCTGAGCAGGCGAGCGATCAGGACCCATCGGGCCCATCGGGCAGTGGGAGTAGGTCGTCGACTTCGGAGTCTTCTAAGTTCAAGCACCTGCGCTTCTGAACTGCTGGCGGGCTGCGCTACCATTGTGATGCTGCTGGCGTTCGGAGCCTCGGAGCCAGCTCGCGTCTCCAGCATTTCGCCGAGTTCGGCGAGTTCGGAGGCGCGTGAATCAGAGCAGCTCTCCAGATGCTGCAGGGCTTGGCTTCTTGCTCCCCCAGCTTTCCTCTTGCTTCACTCGGGGGGTCACGAGATGGGCGATCGGGAGATCATGAGGGCAGAAGGGCCTCCTGCATGTCGTTCTGCACCGTCACCTTCCCCTCCATCCCACCCGCTCCGATTTCAGCGCCCGTGCCTTTTTGGAGCTTCCTGCGGCGCAGCGTTGCTCAACGCTCGCGCCAGGGAGCAGCTGCAACTGTAACGTAGTTTAGTCCCCCCCCCTCCGCCACAGTCGAACAGGGGGCCCCGCAACTCATCCGCATGCGTATCTGGCTTAGGTCTCTTGGGCATTCATACTTACGCGTTCAAAATCGTATATGGCTTAGGTCTCTTGGGCATTCAGATGTGAAATCCTTGTTGCAGCTGCTCCCGAATCCAGTTTGACCAGCCGGTGGCGCGATGGAATTGTTGGCCTTGCCGATATGAGAGTGTTGTTGCACCGTGCAATGTGGATCAGGGCCGAGTTAAAAACACAGTTGACTTGAACTTGAACCGATCAAGCCTTTCAACAGCTCAGCCATTCTTCTCCCGAGCGCTTCAGAGATTTCGGCAACGGCCCCGTGACGCCATGGCAGGCCCCCAGAGGAAGCCAGTGTTCGAGTGGCTGGCTGATCCTCGCGGCATGAACGAGGTTGATCGTGCTGTACTGGGGCTCGCCAAGGTGGAAAGGGAACGGAGGAGGGGAAGCACGAGAAGGAGGAGGAGGAGGAGAAGTTGGAAAAAAGTCGGAGGGGGGAGGAGGAGGAGGAGGAGGAGGAGGAGGAGGCGAGGCACCCAGAGGCGGATCATAATCCCCAGTCGGGGCCCCGCCGCTAGCATGATGATCCTCTCGGTCCTTTCGGCGTGGGCCAAGAGGAGGAGGAGGAGAAGGAGGAGGAGGAGGAGGAGGAGGGGGAGGAGGAGAAGGAGGATGATTTTGTTGCCACCGATTTCGAACAAGAAGACCGCGGAGAAGGAGGAGAGGGGAGGAGAGGGGAGAAGAGGGGGGAGCCCGAACACGGGCGGTGAGAAAGTCTGTACAAAGCGGGCTTCGGGCCGAGAAGAGGAGCTCGGGGGAGAGGAGAGGTGAGGAGAGGTGAGGAGAGGTGAGGAGAGGAGGAGAAGAAGAAGGATAGGGGCGGTCCGAGCAAGGCAGTGGAGAAGCAGCGTGAGAAGCCCAACGCCTTAGAGGACGAGCTCAGTGATGCTAGAACCGAGATTGCGGCGAAGGATGATGAAATCAATATGCTGGAGTCGGAACTCAGGATGCTCATAAACAAAAATGCTTCATTACAGGACGAGCTGGATGTGTTCAAGGGGAAGGGGTCCAGTGATCGTACCGAGACGGGGGAGGCGAAACCGAACAAGGAGAGGACCGAGGCCGAGGGCTCCGCGATCGACCGCGACAACACCGATTCCGACTAGCTGGTGACCTGAGTGGCTGAGTCGGGCAAGCAAGCGTCTCGGCTAGCATCTAAGAGGATGAAGGCTGAGGAGGTGGAGGAGAGGAGGGGAGGAGGAGGAGGAGGAGGATGAGGATGAGGAGGAGGAAGAGGAGGAGGAGGAGGGCGGAGAGGACTCGGAGGAGTCAGGGAGAGGAGGGAGACGAGCTTCGGAGCTTCGGGGCTTCGGATTGGGTGATAGGTGGACCTGCGGCAGCAGGCGAACATCAGCGATACCAAATGTTGTCCCGAAAATGGCGCTTCGGGAAGGCATGCGATCTTTCCTAGACATCACATTCGGCGGATCCTTGCCTTTTCCCTCGCACCCTCAGTGGCAGCTTGCCGCAGCCACCCTTTTTCATCCCTCTCCCTGTCTTCTCCTCTTCCCTTTTCTGCCGACCTGCCGACCTGCCGATATGCCTGCCAGCCTCTCTCTTTGCCTCCCCCCTTGCCTCTCCCTGCCTGCCCTCCTCTCCCCTCCTCTCCCTCCATCCTTTCTTTTTACAAGTGCGCTATCGTCCACGTCTCAAGGCGCGTGCGGACGATTGCTGACCAAGCTGGATCAAGCGCTCTGCTGATCATGGCCAACATCGCACATCCTGTTTGATGTGTCGCACCCGCACCAAACCGCGTGATGCACCCACGGTGGCGGTATCGATCACGTTCGCAAGCCACGCCAACACGCGCACGGATGAATTAGAATAGGCTACATTTCGGCCGACGACGGCCGACGGAATACTTAAGTTTTGGCAACATGCGCGACTCAAAAGGTCGCGAACCCTAGCTCGTTCCTAAGGTCATCTCGGAAAGCATTCCTGGGAAACCTTTGGCATATGCCATAACAGAACAACTTCAACGGACAACATAACAGAGCTCACCCGCCTCCCCATCCCAGTGCTACCGCCCACATGTGTCCCCCCCCACCCAGTGCATCGTTTCGTGGCCCCCAGTGAGGTCCACCGAAGGCCCGAGTGCTACCGCCCGCATGCGCCCCCTCCACCCAGTACAGCGCTTCGTGGCCCCACAGGGAGCTCCACGGAAGGCCCCTGTGCTATCGCCCGCATGCGTTTCCCCCCACCCAGTGCAGCGCTTCGTGGCCCCATACGGAGCTCCACCCAAGAATATATTCAATATTGCGGTATTCACACCTGCATATGGTTGGGTTTGTCGCCTGGACAGTTTGATTATTTCTGGACAATGTTTGAATATTCGTTTTTCTTGCTATTGTTAATTTCTTGTCTACAATCCGCCTGTAGGAGGACATGGCCGACCTAAATGCAGCTCTGGGGGCCAAATTGCCACATGGGCAGCCAGTGAGGCTCCACTGGCAAACGTGCAGGCCCAGCCACGGCGGGGGGGAGCATGTGGCTATCGCACATGGCAGTGGGGCCCCATTGTCAAATGGCTTCTTTGGGGGCTAGGTCTGGGCGGCCAAGGAAGTCCGATTCTCGATTTGACAGCGGGGGCCCACCGTCACACGGACCATCGGGGAGGCAGGCCGAGGCGCGGGCGTCGAGCTCCGATTGCCCATGTTTCAGTTTGATCGTGGGGGGCCACATTCAAATGAGCAGTGTTGGGGGCTAGGCCGAGGCGGGCGAATTGAGCTCCGATCGCCCAATTGGCAAAGGGAATCCCGTTGGCAAATGTGTCATCGGGGTGCCCGCGTGCTGATTTTATAATGGGATCCCCACTGTCAAGCAGGGGATCGAAGGGGAATCGTTGCCGATTGCCCGTTTGACTGTGGGGATCCCAACGTCAAACGGGCAAAGTTCCCTCAGCACTTTCCGCTGCAATTTCGCCCCCATGGGGGGGACTCCTGGGGGGGATAATCTCACGCGCCTTGATGACCCCTAAAGAGGTCGACGGACTGCGCGACTGACCCCAAAGCCCATTGATATCCACCAGAAGCCTGGCACCACGCGCTGAGGGTGGCCTGCGCTCGGGGCACTTCTCCTTTGGTATTTTGGTTGTGTGGATTCGTGCAAAGCCTATTGGCAATGACTGCGGAGCCGGCTAGAACGTAGCGCGCGCGTGGTTCTAGAGTGTATATATATATATGTTTATATATGTATATATATAAATATATATATGTATATGCATATTTATATGTGTATACATGTTTTATACATTCAGATGCATATATGCGTATGTCTGTATCGAGATGTGTGTGTATACATATATAAATACACACATACGTACACACATGGGTAGGGGTCCTGGGGACACGAATGTTCTGATTTGTCTTCCGGCCGTTTCGGGCCTGTTGGGGGTGCCAGAACGCGTCAGAGGAGGGGAAGGGGGGCGATCAGAGGGCCCGAGATACGTCCAAGAGGCCGCTAAGATGGCCCAGGAGCGCTCCAAGAGAGCCCAAGACCGCACGAGAGCGTTTCAACATTGGTCCAACATGGCTTAAAGACAGCCCAAGAGCCAAGAGGACTTCAAGATTGTTAAGATGCCTTCAAAAGGATCCCCACAAGGAATTCAGGAGACGACAGAAGTAGGTTTTTTTTTCGATGTTGTTTGCAGGTTTTAGTGTTCTCGTTGTTTCCTGCTTCCGACGGTCCAAGACAGCCCACGAGGCTTCAGAAATCAGTGTTTCGACGGCCCAAAATGCACCCAAAGAGAGCGCCGCGACGGCGCAAGAGAGCCCCAAGACGGCCCAAGAGCGCCCCAAGACGGCCCAAGAGGCGCCCAAGATCGCCCAAGAGGCCCCAAGACGGCCCCAAGCGGGGCCCAAGAGGGGGAAGACGAGCCGACAATTCGAGCCTTCCGCCCCAAGAGACCCCCACGAGGCCCCAAGAGGCCCCGAGCCCAAGGTCCTCTTAGAGGCCCTCTGGAGACCCCGCGAGGCCCCAAAGAGGCCCCCCAAAACGCCCCAAGAGCACCCCAAACGGCCCCCAAGAGGCTTTCAAAACTGCGTTCAGGAGGCTTACAACATTGCCTCCCAAACACGGCACAACGTTGCATTGCATTGCGTAGCCCGGCATGCCGTGTGTGTGTGTGTGTGTGTGTGTGTGTGCATACCATGTAACGCGGTAGCGTCGCTCTTTGTGGGACACACATCAGGATATGGCTCAGCGTATCATCACACATACGTGCGTTTATATATATATATATATATATATATATATATATATATTAGCAAACAGTTTTCGTAGATGCAACGAAAGGGGGCCGCACGGTGACGCCGTCCGTCGCCGTTGGGGGCTCAAAGTTCAGAGCCGATGCTGGTTGTCTTCATTACTTTTTGGGGGAGTCTCTCCGTTCGGCAGGCACCGCCGCGATCGTGTGGGCTGCGCGGACCGACTGCTTGGCTTGCGTGTGCAAGCCTGCGCCGAACTGCGGCGCCGGCGGCGGCTCGCCAGTCGGCGACGGGCCCAGCTGGCTGGAGGTGGGCTCAGCTACTCCGCCTTGGCCCTGGTGTTCATCGCTGGGGTCGTCGCGGGCTGGCTGGGGCGCGCGCCGCTGGCTGGGGCGCGCGCTGCAGCTTCGGGGCAGCGGCGGCGCGCTGGGCCTCGCGGGCCTGGCGCGAGAGCAGGCTGCAGCGGCGGGGGCTAGGCAGGCCAGCTCGGCTTCAGCTTAGCCATGGCGGGGCACCCGCTGTTGGCCCTGGGCGCCGCGGTGGGCGACTTCGTGATGATCCGCTACGGGGTCGGTGGCCGCCGCGTGCGGCACGAGCGACTCGCGCGCGCCCCGGGCACTGCCCCCTCTTGGCCTGGGCAGCCCGTGGCGCCGAACACCGGCGGGGGGGCCGATCGCCGCAGGCGCTCGCGCGCTCGCAGTGGACGCAGTGGCGCCCCCCGCAGGTGGCGCTGGCGGCGGCTTGGCTGCGTCGGAGGAGGCGCTGCGGCTGGAGGGCCGCCCGCCGGGCTCGCGCCCGCCCCGAGCGCTGCGGTGCCGGCGGCGCCTGCTGCCGCCAGAGCCGCTGGCGGCGGGGCCCTGGCAGCGGTGCCCGCGCCAGCCTCGGCGGCGCCCGCGCCGGCCGCGGCGGCGCCCGCAGCGCCCGCGGGTGCGGCCGCTCTCCCCGTTGCCGCTGGGCCGCCGGCCGCTGCGGCTGGCGCCTCTGCTGCCGCGCCGTGCGGCGACCTGCGGATCGCGGCGGCGCGCCGCGGCATCCGCGGCGAGCGGCGCAGGGAGTTCGCAGATGCGGCGCGGCAGCTGGTGGAGGCCCCCGCTGAGATTGGCCGACCGCGGGGCCGCGCGCGCTGATGTGGTTTGCGGTCTTCGCCCGCAGAGTCCCGGTTACCCCGCCGGCGTGGCATCAGAAGTGGCGGACCTATAGAGGCATCGGCGATGACGAGCCAGGGGTCCGCAACCGACCGCGAGTTCCTGCGCCGCTTGCTCGAGGTTGCGCTCTGCCGCGACCAACTGCGCAGCTCGAACTTGGTGTCGATGGAGCTCGTGTCGATGGTGTCGATTGAGAATGAGCGATGCAGCCGCCGCTTCGAGAGCGCCTCCGATTTCGCGGCGAACGAGAACTTGATGACTGGCCTGTCGCATGGTCACGGCCACATCTGCGTGTCGCCATCGTCGCGGGACTTCGCGTCGCAGCAGTTGCAGAAGGACGCAGCCATCGCAGAGGAGGGGCGGGAGGCCGGAGAAGAGAGGGCGCTTGCCGGCGGCGGTGGCGGCGGGGCAGATGGAGGAGACCGAGGGGGCCGAGGGGTGGGGAAAAAGGGTGGCGGGGCGTCCGCCGAGGAGTCATGGGCGCATCGCTCGTGGGCGGCTCGGGAGACCGGCGGGCCGTATCTCTCCGCTGCCGCTGCTGGATCAGTGCCCTCTTCGTCGCGAGGTCGCCGCTCGCAGCGGTGGCGCGCCCTTCGTAACTTCCGTCGGACTCGGCTCAGCGAGGCCATTGCATCGCAATTCACTCTACGGCTGCCGCAGCGCCGTTGGCGAGCCCGACAATGAGTGCCAGCGCGTGGCCCTTGCCAGTATGAGCGCCGCGCTGCGTCGATTGGGTCGGCTACCTGATGCGCGTGCAGAGACGCGTGAGTGCGAGGGCGACGCCCTCGAGGAACTCCTCCTCGGCGTGCCGG